CCTGGGCGCCAGCCGCTGAGGGGTGACAGGAAACCGGAAGTGCCACTCACCACTAACGCCAGGCCCCGGGGCTTCCCGACCGCCTGAGGGGGGGAAAGGAGCCACAGCGCAGGGGCGGGGACCAAACGCACAGAGACGTCTCGCTGCTGGGAGGAACGGACACCCGAGCAGCGGGAAGAAAGCGTGAGGTCAAAGCAGGCACCGCCAGCCTGCGTACGAAAAGGGGACCGCAGAGCGAGAGGCCATCTTGGATGAGGGAAGAGAGAGTGCGCCATATTTACCTTGGCTGTAGTAGGCGGCCATCTTTGGCAGGGGCGGGGACCAAACGCACAGAGACGTCTCGCTGCTGGGAGGAACGGACACCCGAGCAGCGGGAAGAAAGCGTGAGGTCAAAGCAGGCACCGCCAGCCTGCGTACGAAAAGGGGACCGCAGAGCGAGAGGCCATCTTGGATGAGGGAAGAGAGAGTGCGCCATATTTACCTTGGCTGTAGTAGGCGGCCATCTTTGTGTGGGGCAAAGAGCCCGCTATAGCTAGTACCTATTTCGTTTGGTGGCCGTGGGTGGCCATCTTTGATTGGGGCGGAGAAGCAAATGTTAACCTGGATACTGTTGGCAGCCACCCTTGATTAGGACCAGAGTATCCTCCAGGCGACTACTAGGTGACACTGCTCAAGCTGAGATGTTAACTATATAAAATAGAAATATTAAGAAATGGAATTTACCAGTTCCCTTACTCTCTGTAACATCCCCATTCCTACTGCTCCTCATCCTTCCTCTACCCCAAAGTAACAACAAAACAGCAGAGGCATTTACAAAACTCTTTTATTAATTTATTTCCATGTGATAGCCCCACCCTTTACCTCTTGTCTGCTCTGTTTCTTTAAAACAGTCTGGCGACCTAGATTGGCATGATTTTCCGGAAATGCTTTTAATGGAAAAGTTATCCGTTAAAAGCATTTTCGGAACAGAGCGCCTAGATTGGCACGGACGCTTTTCCGCAAAAGCACTTTTTGCAGAAAAGCGTCCGTGCCAATCTAGACGCGCTTTTCCGCAAAAAAGCCCCAATCTCCATTTTTGCGATCGGGGCTTTTTTGCGGAAAACAAATCTCAGCTGTCTACATTGGTCCTTTTGCGCAGAAGTTTTGCGCAAAAGGGACTTTTGCCCAAACGGGAGTAACATAGTATTTCCGCAAAAAGCACTGATTTCTTACAGTAGGAAGTCAGTGCTTTTGCAGAAATTCAAGCGGCCAGTGTAGACAGCTGGCAAGTTTTTCTGGAAAAGCAACTGATTTTCCGGAAAAACTGTCCAGTCTAGACACAGCCTCTCTTATTTATGTGCAGTGCAATCAGACCTCAATCCCAGATAGGGACTTAAAGGCTACCATAATATAAATAGAAAAACTTAAAAAACAATGAATAGTCTAGCAGCACCTTAAAGACTAACAAAACATGTAGATGGTATCATGAGCTTTCATGGGTTCGAGTCTTCATCTGAAGAAGTGGGTTGTATCCACGAAAGCTCGTGATACCATCTACATGTTTTGTTAGTCTTTAAGGTGCTGCCAGACTATTCGTTTTTGTTTAAGTTTTTCTAGTTACAGACTAACTCAGCTACCACTCTGATCATATAAATAGTTGTTTACTACTTATGATACTAAAAAGTTAAAATAGTATGGAATCTCAATAGAATACATAAATATAATACAATCAAATCTTTGTTTTGCAAGAATGTGACAACTTTTCTATTAAATTGGTACCTTAACACAGTTACACCATTCTCCAGGCCTTGGTCAGTTCTCAGAGTTATTGTATAGGTTGTCTGCTGAGCCAGGTAAACCTCACTGTGTCATGCTTAGTTCACAATGTATAGGTAATCTTTGCCTGTATAAGGACAAGAGGGTTAATTTAAAAAAGTTTAGTTTCTGAAGTATAACATGGAAGTCTCCAAAAAATTGCTATTCCACCGAGCCACCATAAAGCCCTGACTAGGAAGAGCAAGCTACCGGTAATCGTTTCTAAATTATGTCACATGGGTCCTGACATGCCTAATTTCCACTGATGTCTATGGGAATGGGAGTTAGACACCTCAGTACCTTTGAGGATCTGGTCCTTGGCGTTCAGATTAACCTATATATAAAGGCCCTACGTCAGCACCCAGCTTAATGCCCTTCTTCCACCAAGACAGCCCCAGCAACAGAGTCTGTGAGTTTTTACATTGGTCTTTTATGAAAAGGGCCCAGAAGCAGACTCAGATAGGGTGACCAGATGTCCCTATAAAATTGAAACTCTTTTGATAATTAACTCATTGTCCCACATCCTGACCAATGCATGATTAGGATGCCATTTGCCCAGATATTTGACACAAAGCTGGCAAGCTCTCTTCTTTGCTCTGTGGAGCTACTTGGAAACAGCAACATCTTTATCTGGCTGGCTCTTTGACACAGAGATGGCCAAGAGGACACTGCATGCATACTCCCACCATGAGTGCTAGCTGTCCATCCCCTATTGGCCAGGAACTGCGGTCAATGGGAATTGTGGTGGTGGCACCTCCACCAAAGACCCAGGGGAAGATGTCACTGCTTCTTGAGAAGGCACCCGAAGTAAGTGCCACCTGGAGCATGCACTCCCTCCCACGTCCTAATCCCCAGCCCTGAGCCTCTCCCACACCCAAACTCTCTCATGACTCGTTTCAATGCCCCATATCCCTGCCTCAGCCCTGAGTCCCCTCCTTGCAGCAGGGTCTGCAGCTGGGGCTGTGTACCCCTGCTCATAGCTGAGATAGCTTTGGCTGTTCAATGTAGGGCCGGGGTTGCTCATGCCAGGGTTCCTCTAGGGGAGGGCCTGAGGTTCTCAGTAGTTACTAGAGACGTAAAGATTACTAAGTAAAGTAACTCAGTAGTTTCTATGGATGTACTGGCATGCTTACTGAGGTAAACAGTTAACCAGTGCCTGGCCTGGCTGGAGCAGCCCCCCTATCTTAGGTGCACTGTGCTGTGGGCTGGTTAACTGGTTAAACATACAGTTTAAATGGTTAACATTTTAAACATGATTTTACATCCCTAGAACTTACACAATGCTTGTGCATTGTGCTTGTGCCCTTCACTCCCATATGTGCTGCAATGTGCATAAGCTGCAGTAAGGGTGCATCTACACAGCAGTTATTTTGAAATAACAATACAAGCGTCTACAGCAATTCCGTTATTCTGAAATAACATATATTATTTCAAAATCTGCAAACCTTAATTGCATGAGGAATAATACTTGTTTAGAAATAGCTATTTCGGAATAGCAGTCGCGTGGACACTCCACTGCTTCTATTTCAAAATAGCTCCTCCCCCGGGGCCATTCAAAGTCATTACTCCTCAGTGCCTCCTGGGGCTCTAAATCGAGGTAGCACATCCACATTAGGGAAGCCTGCCTCGGACTAATTTTGAGGCTTCGCTGTAGTGTAGACATGCAATTTTGAAATAAAAATCCCAAATCGCTTATTTCGAAATAAGCATGCTGTGTAGTACCCTAAGGCACTTAAATAGCTCTGTGACACTTAACCTGAGGCAAGGGCGCCCCCAACCTGCCCTAATTCAAAATGGAGGTTGATTCGACTTCCTTTGCCTTGATCCAATATGGCGATCTCTCCTCCTCTCCCCCCGCTTGCCCTCACACAAGATGGCTGCTGATCGACTAGTTTGCCAAGATCCAATATGGCGTCCTTTCGGACCTCCTCCCACCAGCCGGTTGACCTCACACAAGATGGCGACTCTTTCAGCCTCGCTTGCCCTGGCGCGATATGGGGGCTGAGTCCAGGAGGACGAACTGTGTAGTCACGTGACGCTAGTCTCAGCCCCTCCCCCTTCTGTGTCTCTTGCACAGGGCCGGGCGGCCGACAGCTGCGGGTGCTGATCACGCTGACTCGCGGACCTCCTCCCACCAGCCGGTTGACCTCACACAAGATGGCGACTCTTTCAGCCTCGCTTGCCCTGGCGCGATATGGGGGCTGAGTCCAGGAGGACGAACTGTGTAGTCACGTGACGCTAGTCTCAGCCCCTCCCCCTTCTGTGTCTCTTGCACAGGGCCGGGCGGCCGACAGCTGCGGGTGCTGATCACGCTGACTCGGCAGCCTCTGCACTGAGCCAGCAGGGGAATTGTGTCCCAGCCCGCGACCCGTAGCCGTTTCCATCCGGGACATTCTGTGGGAAAGGGGCGGGGTCGCTTCGATTCCCGCCTAATCTTCAGGGCTGTGCGAGGCGCTGAGGGTGGGTGTGGCTGAGGGGCTGGCGCCCAAACCTGCGCTGCCCACCCAAGAGGAGGAAGGGGTGAGGGCTGGGCCTGCTTTGGAGCTGCCCTAAGGAGGGGCTGCTCTCAGCTGCCTGGGGCCTGCTGCCCGTCAGCTTCTCTCCCTGCCACCATGAAGCTGCTGCGACTCCTGTGGGCCTGGTGCTCTTCGCTGTGGTTCTGCTCTATCTGGCCAAGTGCACCTCTGAGAGCCTCAGGCCCTTGCCGGGGAGGGGCCTGCCCCACCACCAGCTCCTGCGGCCGCCCCATGGCGGAGCAGGTGCTGGGCCACCCCCACCGGCAGCCCCACCACCCCCGGAGGAGAAGGCGTTTCTGGCCGTCCTCGTTGCCAGCGGCCCCAAGTACACGGAACGCCGCAGCATCATCCGCAGCACCTGGCTCTCTGGGGCGGGCCGGCCCCCTCAGGATGACATCTGGTGTCGTTTTGTGATAGGCACAGGTGGTCTAACTGGGGAGGAGCTTCACAGCTTAGAGTTGGAGCAGAGCCGTCACCGGGACTTGCTGTTGCTGCCCGAGCTTCGTGACTCATATGAGAACCTGACTGCCAAGGTCCTGGCAATGTATGTCTGGCTTGATCTGAACTTGGACTTCCGATTTGTCCTCAAGGCAGATGATGACACCTTTGTACGTCTGGATGTACTTGTGGAAGAGCTAAGGGCCAAAGAGCCACGTCGTCTTTACTGGGGCTTCTTTTCTGGTCGTGGCCGAGTGAAGTCAGGTGGCAAGTGGAAAGAGAGCACTTGGCTTCTATGTGACTACTACTTGCCTTACGCTCTGGGTGGTGGCTATGTACTCTCTGCAGATCTGGTGCATTATCTGCAACTCAGCCAAGACTATTTCAACATGTGGCAGAGTGAGGATGTCTCTTTGGGTGCTTGGTTGGCTCCTGTGGATGTGAAGAGGGTGCATGACCCACGTTTTGACACTGAATATAAGTCACGGGGCTGCAACAATAAGTATATCGTCACTCACAAGCAGAGCATTGAGGACATGTTAGAAAAGCATCAGACTTTGGCCAAAGAAGGGAAGCTCTGCAAGGAGGAGGTTAAGCTCAGGCTGTCTTACATGTATGACTGGGGAGTGCCTCCTTCACAGTGCTGCCAAAGGAAAGATGGCATCCCCTGAACGCTGAGGGAAGAGGAAGGGCAAAGTGTGAAAGGAGAACTCTGAGCTGGATTAGTATCGTATGGGCACACTCCCTGTAAATAGGGTTTAAAAATTCTGAGATTTTGCACGATTTGTGTGTCAAGACTGTGCAGGATCAGCATAGCACCATAATTCAGAAGAGTTACTGAAGTGCTGTGATTTGTCTACAGATACAAAACATACAGGAATAAAGGGGGGAAATGAGAAAAATTATATGATGGAACTTAGTGCAAAGGGGGAAAAAACAAACTTTTTAAAATAATTTGGATGAAGAGCAGGTTGGAAGATGTCTCAAATTCAAGAGCTTGGTTAAGAACGTGTCATGTCTTCACACCATCCCCAAAATTGTGAAAATGTCTGCTGTTCAATTTTTGCAGGGAAAAATATCACTTTGGCGAACCATGTTGGCAAGTTTTGAAGATTGTAATAAAGAGCTAGCAAATCAGTTGCTTGTGTCAGTAGGAATAAGTGGCTCCTTAGAACTACTGGCATCTAAATGAAGGAAAGTGTTGGATTTTTGCACTTGTTACTTTATATTCCCACTGAAGGGGGAGAAGGAGTGTCTAGTCTTTGGAAAGTATTCTGATTTAATTGTAAAAGGTCTTGGGTAATATCTCTGAATTTAAATCTTCAATAATCTTTAAATAATTTGTAATGTATTGTGTAATCTGGATTATCTGGCAGCTACTAAATAGGTCTGAATTTAGGAAGGTGTATGTGTTATGCCATATTGCAATATTAGGGTAGGTTCTCAACTACTGTATCTTGATTTGGAAGCAAACATTTATGCTATACTCCTAGCACTCAGTTATTGGGATTAGATGCTGCTCTTGTATTCAAGTGCATTGTGTATAAAGAAATCTTCCTAATTTTTTACAAAAAATGATCCCACTGAGAAGTAATACTCTGATTATGCAAACGATAGGACTACTTACATTAGTAAGAGCAGGATTGGACCTATAATGTCTCAAACTAGAAGTACAAAACTACATTAAATTATCTGGATTAGATTTTTAAAATAAAAAGTAGTAATTCCGTAAAAAAAAAAAAATCTTAATAGGCTATTTCAGACACTAATATGGCGTATAAATGACTGAGGTTTATTTTTTCACTTTTCTATTGTCCTGTCTACACTAGAGGACTCCATTGCTGACAAAAGTTACCAGGAATGTTTAACCAAGAATATAAATGTGCCACTTTTAGCACAACGATATAATTATTTGAGAGCTTAATGTATTCTAGCATTTTCTGTGAAAACTTTTAGCTGTGTGATTTTGAATAATCCTATAATAGTGTTGAAAATGGTTCCATCTGTGTGCACAATTGCATCTTTGTCCATGCTGGTTCTGGGGGACTCATTTCTGAAAACCCTTGTCAGCAACAGATTGCTTTTCTAGTAAAGACAGAGCTTTAAAGTTGATGCCTAAAGGGCATGTCCACACTCTTCAATCTTGCTTATTGTTTGTTGCACAGTGCACTTTCATGTTGTTGTTATTACTGTATTTCTTTTTCTGTGGATGGTACACCTCATGTTGGAGGGAGACATTAAACTTTACATAATAAGAGCAGGTGCAATCATAATAACTGTTAGGCTTTGTCTACACTGCACTGCTTTAGGCAACATGTCCGAGTTGCTAAAAGTCTTGTAGTGTAAACTCTGTTTGCCAGCAAAATGCTTCCACCCCTTACAAGCAGGATTTGCCTTTTTGACAGGAGAGTTCTTTTGCCCACAAGTAGCTGTTGACACTGCCACTTCCCATAGCACAACTTTTGTCTTTGAGGGGAGAAGGGTCAGGGAGGAAGGGAAGCTTTTTTTAAGCACCCATGAGTGACACAAGTTTGTCATTCAAGCGGCAGTGTAGACAAAGCTTTTTGCTTTTCAAACACAATTTAGTAATTCATTTCAAAGAAATCAAGTGCATTTTTTCTCTTGAAATCCTGATCTGTACTTTTAAATAACATCTTGAGAGTATTAAGTCGGGGGGAAAGACTTCTTTGGAAAGGAAAATAACTCCTTATTTACATTGAGTATTTCAACAATATATTCTGTAACTTTCCTTCTAAAAACAAAATTAAGATATCAAAAAAGTAACTTATCTGATCTGATGCATCCAGTCTATTGCACCTTGACATAGTGATGCTTACTGCAGGTATGCCCTTCAGTGGAATATATTCCTGATTAATAAAAGGTTTGACTTCACCTGGTTGTGAGAAATTATAGTGGCTTCAGTAATACTTTTAAAGTCTGTATGTCTCTTTTAGTCTTGGGGTAAATGAGTATTGTACATATAACATTTGGTGTTTGTAATTGTGATTATTTATTTATTTAAATATTGTAAATGTACTATGTATTGTTAAACATTTAAGATAGCTGTCATCTTATTTTAAAACTATTTAAGAAAGTGTTAAATTTCACAAGTATTTGTCAAATGCTTGAATTTCTTGATGTACAGTTCATAATTTAAATAATCAGGGTCTGAGTTGTAGATCCAAAAATCTGCTGCATGACTCTTAACCTGATAAGAATGTACTAATCACCCATTTGTCTAAATATCAATGTTTATGTAAGTCACGGGCATTGTCGCTTCTTTTTCTTTTTTTTTTTTGTTTTTTGAAGGGATTTGAGCTTCAGAATGAAAAATTGTCATATTCCATGTGACATCTGCCTCATAGAAAACACACATGTGCATATACACATATACTGATTAGCATTTTTGTAGAATGCTGAGCTCCTTGCATGTCCCTGAGTTTCAAGAATATAGATCTTCATCCTGCAAAACACTTTCTTAAACATCTGAGTAGTCCCCTTTATTTCACTAGTACTTAAATTAAAATCAAGACCGGAGTACTCAGCACCTTGGACAATTAAAACCATAAATTGTGATAAATATCAAATAGAACTATATCTTGTTCTGTTCTAACAACAGATTTAAATAACAATCTTTTGGTCTGCAATTACCTATCTTTTGCCTCAGCTCAAAAAATAATTGTTTTGGAAGATGTGATCCATTTTTTTTATATGTCCCTATATGTTCTGATCGGAATATTTATGCTTGAAAAACTCAAGTGCCTGAAGTTAAAATAACTTCTAATTTGTCTGACACTGTGGATTTGATTGATACTTTAAAACTTCCAAAGTTGAGTTTTTAATGACTGCATGTTGAATGCTCAGTTAAGTTGACATAGTGTGCAACATCTGCAAGCCAAGTAAATTGCAGTTCAGTAAGTTTAAAAAGCCTCTCAAGGTTGGTTCTGGGGTAAAGAGTCTGCTGAGCTAGTCAGCAGAAAGAATTGGTGACCCAGAACTATAAATCCAGAATTGTTAATCAGCTTCACAAACCAAATAACTCAAAAATTGTATTTCTTTAATTAGGAGGTCACATGTTAAAATCTACTGTTAATGCAATGTTAAGATTAAGTATCAAGCACTTGAAAGTCAAGTAACATAAAACACTGCTTACTTGATATTTGAGCCCTAATTATTGCACTAAAGTGTTTTGTTTGCATTTAATTGTGAACCTAATTTTAAAAATATTTAAAATCCCAGATCCTGAACAACACAGTCATATAAAATACTAGCAAATTTACCCAATGTTGCTTGGGTCCATAATTCGGGAATTCCATCAAGCGTATTTTGTTTTTCATCCCTATAAACTCTTATCATTTTCCATGCTTTAACAAAAAAGGACTATAGTCAATTTGATTTCCAATAACATTTTCTTCTAGTTTTCAAACCTTAACAATTGATTTAACTGTTCCAAAACAGAATTACTCCAAAATTCAATGTTTAATCACTTTTCTGTGTGGTTGATTGAGAACCAATCCTATTCCAGGTTCATCCTATGCTTCTGGCTCATCTTGGTTCACACCCTTTCAACATTTGCTCAATTATGCCAGTTTTGAAGACTATAACTGCTTTAGCAAGTCTGTTTCTTTTGTGTATGGCTTTACAAGAAGCAATCCCATTTTCCTGGCACAGCCAAACTCTTACATTGCTTTAAGTTATAAGAGGAAGCTGTATACTGGATTTGGTGGTCCTAGCTCTTACCATTTAAGAGGAGTTCTTGATCAGACAGACTAACTTTCTAGAGTACACAGAGAATAGGATTAAATAACAAATATATTTTAAATTCCCATTGACATAATTGAGGCTAGGATTTCACCCAGAATGCCTAAACTCTGATCCTAACAAGTAAAAAGTATTTTGGCCTATCCTTTAAAGATCCTTGTATTGAAGTTAATGGGAGTTTTGCCACTGGTATAAAAAACCAAGATCAGGTTCAAAATATATTAATTTGTAACATTTTTACATCTACCATATGTTAACTTAAAAATATGGAATCAAAACTTTAGTTAAATAGCATTTTAGTTGGCCTTTAAGGGAGTTCCTCATAAAGAAATGTGTGTTTGCTGTTTGTTTGTTACTATTATGGTGTTGTTGGGGGGGGGGGGGGTTTCCAATCAACTTCAGGATCATAGTTGACGTAAAATTTATTGTCACTTGGTATTGGACATAAGCTGCCAATAAAGCATGTGTAGGTATGGTCATCCACAGGACTCTTCTCTGGAAGACAAGAGGAAGATGGTTCACCTCAGTTGATACAGGCTGCAAGTAACTAATTGAAGTAGTATAGTCATATTACATTTGTGTTCTTTGCAGGGCTGTAGTAAAACTATTCTGTTTGACAACGTGAAAAGCATTTTAACTGTTTTGTTAGTCTCTGGATGATTTCTTTAATAGTTTTCAAATTGTGTATCATCCATGTTTGAAGTCAAATTTTATTTTCCTTTGAATTATTCTTAAAATGGCATACAGAATCACTTGTGATTGTGTTTAATGTATAACAATGAAACAGTTGAGTTCAAGATTTAAAAGTCTTAACAATTAAAATCTTTTTGCTATTTAAAAAAATTGACCTTTCAATTGGCTTTTCAGTGAGGCATGCATCTGTTTTAGGTAAATCGTTAACTGACTTCTAAATACTCTTCTTGGAGCTGCAAGAAACCAGCTATCAGGAAAAACAATTACCTGTGCTTAAGCATTTGATTTCCCTGCTGTCTAATCTTGTCCATATAAAGAATGCTTTAAAATGCTCTATTGTGGCAAATACTACATTTTATCTTTTTACATTAATTTATTTTGGCCTTTGAACTACCGGAGGAAGTATTTCATGCCACAACTGTGTTTGCCATGAAATAAATGTATTATTTTTGTAACTTGTATTAAGAAAAACATGAAGGGTATTGGAATGTGGTTATGCTTTGCACTCCCACATCTTTCCAATCAACTCCAAATCACAGCTGAAGTAAAATGTCATGTTTGGTACTTGACATAAGCTGTCAATAATGCGTGTGTAGAAATGGCCATTTAGGACGTGCTGTCCATAATACTTCTGTAGATATTGCTTCATCTACCTTGTGAAATAACTTTAAAACTATTTTATTCCTTTGCTAGTTAATTTTTATCTTCTAATAGAAATGACTATTAGTTTATATACAATATCCAGTCAGCTATGGGATGCTGAAAGTTGCCAGTTATAAAATGTGCATTTAGAAACAATAAAATAGTTTTTTTTTGTTCCCTCCTACAGTCTAAAAAGAATTGAGTGAAGTTGCTCTTTTTAAGCTATGCAGCATTGCCAGTTGGAAGTCACAGTTGTCTATTCTTTCAGCCTTTATATAGAGAAGAATGGTAAGGAAATAAAAGTACTCACTGTGAGAAGCATCTTGTTGTACTGCATATTATAGCTATCCATCTCCTTAGTTTTATGTCTATGTGCTGGAACTTATTTATTAAAATGACTTGCTATAGTGATCACTTTTTTCCATACCATATAAGAAGTGATCAGTATCATATATTTTTCTATACCATTGCATGGTAGAGGTATAAAGAGTTGGCTCAACGATGCAGTCCTGGCATGCGCAATATTTTCATTGATTTCAATAAATGATGTAAGGTTACCTTCATGGCCAGAATCCCAAATCAGCATCTAGGCCCATTAAACAATGCAAACAAGTCCAAAACACAGTGCATTGCTTACATCGACATTCTTCATAAGTTCTTTTTTTCCCCACCTTTACCACTGCAAGATCAGGTCCAATGATATGAACGCATACGATAAATAATGTACATAATACAAAGAAAATACTAAAAAAAGTTTGGGAAAATGATGAACATAGTAACTTTTATGTTTAATTGTTACTAACTATGAAAGGGTTTGATCCTGAGTACAATGAAGTCAGTAGAAAGAATCTCATTGATTTATATCAGTTTGGGAGGGGGGAGGTCATACCCTACCTGAGAACTTCCCCAAAATACTACTGAAGTGAGATGTGAGTGGAATAATGTGATCAACTGAAAGCACATTTTCAAAATAACTTTTCTATTTGCTGAGTTCTGCTCTTAGGCTAGGTCTACACTGCAATGGTAAGCTGGAAAAAGAAATGCAATGTGCAGCATGCAAATTGTGTATCTTTTTCTGCTTTACTGTCGAAAGAGGCTTTTCTGAAATCTGGCGCATCTACACGGTGCCAAATTTTGAAAAAAAGGACTCTTTCGATACATCCCTTATTCCTCGTAAAATGAGGTTTACAGGGATGGCAAAAGAGCATGTCCCCTTTTTTTTCAAATTTTTCTGAAAAAGCAGACCAGTTCCTTGGACATGGCACTGCTTTTCTGGGATACTTCTGGTATCCCAAAAAAGCAGTGCAGTTTAGACACAGCCTTACTGAAAAATTACATGACTCTTTC